TCCCTCCTTTGTTCAAGTGAATGGCACTGCTCTCTCGGTGTCTCTTCAATATTACCAATGTAATGACAGCTCAAATTGCATGCCTTCATGCCCCCCATCAAATTTGTTACTTGTTATTCATGTAGTGATGATGCTACTTAAGCCACCATGAGAAAAGGTGTATGGTTTTTTTTTTTAAACAGTTCATTAGCTCAAATGAATTAGTAAAATTATTTCTTTCTTGATTTTCTTAACTTTTAACTTGGTGAAAGGAATTTTCCAACATATACTTGACTTATCACTAACTTCAACACAACATTCTATATTAATAAAATACTCTCTTTCACCCCTTTCTCCAAAGATTTTTCCTAGGAAAGAAAGCCAAACTTCTCCAATAATAAACACATAATATTTTACAAATAATTCACTAGAGACTATAAGAGCTAAACAACCATTTGTGTGTTTCAGGAAATAATACTAACATTGTAAATAACATTTTGTCTTATCCAAAACTAGGCAAAATGATTTATGAGGCAAATAAAAAGAGACAGCTCCAAACCAAAAGAACTTAAGCTGGAGGCAAAGCAAAGAAGAACAAGGAAAATACACACTCAGATCACACTGAAATTCAATGAAAATTGTTGCATTCTCCACCTTAAAACCTCTTCACAAATGGATCACGAAAATAGCAAATGACAGAAGACAGAGCATCTCTATTTATGAAGAAGCCAAAGGTAATACTCAGGCCAAAGGCTGCACTTATAAAAATCCCACATCAACATGCCAAAAGAAGGCCTTATGGTGGGGTTCAGTTACCTGCAGGTGCTGAAGGCCATTTGAGATGCCCTAAAGTATGCAAGAAATCTATATGAGGTCAGCAGATAGGACACAGAGACTTGTGGCAAGTAAGTATCACTCCGTAGTGGAAGCTGGGGGCATGCAGGGTAGCCTGTGGCACTAAAAATGACACTAGATGCCTAGATTTAGGCAAATTAATAATGTCTTTAATGTCTAATGTCAAAATTAGGACCTCACCAAAAAAAAAAAAAAAAAAAGAAGACACAAAAAGTGCAGATCCCGTTGGCTCAGTGAACTGAGTTCAGTAACCAGTCAGTAAGCTAAGAGATTGATAAGACGTCATTCCTTCAAAAGGCTCTTCCACTTTTTGGTGGGGGGTGAAGAGGACAGGGGAGACATTACCCATGGCATTCAATACAGCTCAATCTTCTGTTCACACTGCATGAATCTTACTGCATCTCTGTATGTTCTGTGCAGGAGGAATGTCCTTAAAACGACATAATAAAAGACTGTCTTGTCTCTGCTTTTTTCATGTAATGAAGAACAGCTGTTTACCAGCCTCTGTGTTTATTTTCATCTTCCATTCTGTCTGCCACCAAGCTCTCAGCCCTATCACCCTCTCAGGTGATATCTAGTATAGTGGTTCTACCTTGGTTCCAGAAAACTTATAATCCCAATGTAAGAAAAAAACAACAGTTACAGAGAACAAATAACTGCGTATAAGTAACAGTGATCCAATATAGGAGAATGCAAGAGTATGACATACTGGTTGCCTTACTAGAGTTCAGATTTTTTCAGGCATTGTGGCAACATTTCTACCTTTTAAGGAAGGATTTAAGGAGGGATAATATATTAATTAGGATAATCGATTTTTTGTAGTTTTATTGTCTTCTATAAAATGGAGTTCTCCCTGGAAAAACTGACACAGCATTACAGCAAGTTAGTGATATCACAGGAGTACTAAAGTGCAGAAGATGAGGATTGGAACACATAAATTCCTAAATATCTGGTTATTTATCTCAGACATTTCATATATCTTTGTGGCTATTATATCACTGCAGGTTATACTTAAGAAGCCAAAGATATGTATGCAATTGCCTTTTAATGTAGAATAGCTATACACATTCGAATTCAATAATTTTTTCTGACCTGGACATCTTTTGTGAGTATTTTGATGACTGCCATACACACTGTAGTTTACAGGTGCCTTTTTTTCAAGGGACTGTAGGTAACTGCATAAGCACCCAATCATTAAATAATAATCATGCAGTAATTTATTCTAAATGGTTTATAAAGTATAAGCTATTATATTTAACAACAGAGAGATGAACAAATGTCCATTAGTTAACAGACTGCTATACTGACTGGAATATTATCACCAGAATAGAAGCTATATTTTAGGAAAGTAGTGATCCTCATATCCATTTGTCCTGAGGAATGTTCAATTTTCTAGAAAAAAAACGAAATTACTTGATAGTGAGGAAAAGCACTGCACTAACAGTAAGTCTAAAAGTTACTGCCAAAAATCTCTCTTGAATCTACTCCATTTTCCTGCCTTTTCACAATACCACTTTAAAACAAGAACTAGAAGAAAGCAGTGACGTGCATCAGAAACTTGAGCTGGTTGGGTGGAATGAAGATCGGAGTTCACAACGGCTCCATGGAAAGAAACAGGATTAGCACTTGTGTAGAGACACCACAATTCTCTGACTACCCTGAACGCCAAAAGTTGCTTCTTCTACTGCTTGCTGCGCTCATGTCCAAGAGAGGCCTGGTGAAACCTGGGAGAAATAAAGCAGTGAGGAGTGAAACGAGGGTTTGAAGTTCAGGCAGTGGGGAAGTGATGAATGAGTGGATGGATTCCTTCTGTTATTTAGGAAGCAAAATGCAGAACTATATGCACCCATCTGTAGTACTGGAAAAGTGAAAAATAAAGAATATCAGAGCTTTCATAATTTGTCTTCCCACATTCTTCTACTAGGCTGGTGGAATAAGTGATATATGTGCTACAAGTTGCAGCAGGCTGTGTGTAGTCAAGCTATGTGTAGAATAGTGCCGTTATTCAATGACCTCTGAAATGCAGAGGGAAGAATAAAATGGACCAGAATATTAAAATACAGTACCAATGTGTATTAGAACACTTGAAATATTGGTATTACTAGAACTAAACAAACTTACCTCAAAGTCCCCCGTGATTCTACCATTATGCTACATTAGAAGCAATCCCTTCCAAAGATTAATCAGCTTAGCTAACCATACACTGTTTAAAACTGCACAGAGCAGAGTATTAGCCACTCATAGAGGATACAAATAACTAAATGTGTCCTTTCTGCCCCGCAAGCACCATATGGTTCAAGGTGGATCTGAAAACTGAGAATGGACCTGGGCCAAAATGATCTCAATTGTTACTTTCAATAATAAAGTACAGCTAGCACCTCAGCATGCAGCTCTCACTTGAGTGGAAGGGGACAGGGACAAAATGCAATGTTCTGAAACAGCTTTTACAGACATCATGCAGTGTTTGTGACATGTATTTGGTGTCTGGAGCTGCAGCCTTGTCTAATTCTCTACTTCTAAATGCCATCTTCCAAAACCAAAGGGTAACGAGTATAAATTGTATCTATAAAACAGCATCACAACTTTATTCTCAATAGCTAAGTATTGAAATGCAAGCATACATTATAAATAGAAAAACAGCTGGCTTGGAGCACATTGCAAGCCACTAACACAGTTGAGGGATTTGAATGACATCATAACCCGTGAGAGCATGTTGCTGGCCAGCTGGTGTTATTTATAATATACTCATAATTGAGGAAAAATAAAAAGGCAAAAGTTAGGTATTACTGAACTAACAAAGTTGAATTCTCCCTTTCCCAGTGTCATTTAAATTATTATCAAGTGTAATTATGGAAATTACTATTAAAAAGGAGGAAAATCACTTTATAATTACAACAGCACATTTACAACAAATGTCATGGAAGCCCCTCAAACTGGGCTACTTATTACTATACTCATAGTACTGTAAATTCTAGGAAATTATATGACTTCTCCTGTGTGGTTACTAAAAGATCACGAAGTTATTTTGCCCTATTTACAAGTAGTGCTCAAGAATTCTGTTATTTTTAGGAAATTACAAACTGGTGTTTTAGGGTTAATAGCACAGAGAGTTGGAGGTTTTAACTGTTACTCAGCATACAGGCGTGCCAAGTTTAATAACATAAAGATGCATTAAGAAAGAAGTAGATAAGTGACTGCCTATTTTTCCACACTATATAAATAAAATACCCATGCCTCTATACATAAATAAAACGTGTACAAAGGTATGCATATATACAAACAATGCCCTTATGTATGTAAGTTCATATATATATTTGAAATGCACACACACACAGACATAAATACAAATGCACACATAGCTATCTGAAAGTTAACCAGAACACATTTTCTTATTTTTCATGGCAGCACAAGCTTTTTTGTCTGCTTACCCCTCAGTCACTAACTCACATTCTTTTAAAGGGAAAAAAATATGCTTCTGTGCTCTAGTTTTAAAATGCAAAGGTATGATGTTATTTGTCACCATGCCCAAAAAAGTCCTTACTCGGTAACTTTGCCAGAAGAGGGAGAGAGAGAGAAGGCAAATGCTCCCCCAGCTGTTTCCTGTCTACAGTGTCTGTGTAATGTAGATAAATGTGAGGATTTTCTCTAAATCCCTCTTCTGTTTGCTAAATCTCACTGTCACTGCTAAAATCAGAGCAGATAGAGCCTGCGCAATGGAATAAAGTCCTCAATATTGAAATGTGACATTGCTCTCAACATCTCACATCTCTCTGGATTTCTTTTTTCTCATCATTACTGCTAACAAATTCATTTCCAGACTTTGCACTTTTAAGAAGCAATGGAAAAAATCAACAGTCTTTCAACACAATTAGTTAAGTGCTGCTTTTGTGATTTCTTGAAGGTAAATCTTTATTACTATTTCAAATAATTTTTTAGTTTTATTTTACTGTGTATTGTCTGCTTCTGGTTTGAAGAGTATTATGCACTTTTCAATAACATTATTTTAGAACTGAGAATTATTTATAAATTGCTGAACATGCAATTTTATGTGATCTGGAAAATGGCTGTATGTAATAGTTGCAATTACATAGATAACTGTAAGGGGAAACTATTGCAGTTACATGTCTTAAATTTCACTTCTATTCAGAGAACTTTGCAATATTTCAGTTATGTCATTATTAAAGTGTCCAATTACATCATTGTCTATATTATTAATTAATGTTTCTGAAAACAAGAACTTTTAGCTATTTTCTGCAGGTGCAGGGTTTTGTAGGAAAAAAGGTATTATTCACATGTTAAGTTTCTGCAGTTTTATTATACACAATGATAGATAAAACGTTCATGCTTTCACAGGGAAACTTTTAAGGGATGTTGTCACTGCAGCAATTTTCTGGCAGCATTGTAGCATTTACTTGGTTTTTGCTTTCATAAATTAAAAGTAAATGTGAAGTTCAGTTTGTTTTCTACATTAGAAACCAGCTGCGACTCTTGCTGACCTTGCATATTTGTATAGCTTAAGCAATTGTACATAAAGAAAATGGAAATTCCCCTACATGTTAATCTCCAAGTTTTCCCTTGTAGGGAGGGCTGTTTCAGGAAAGTTTGCATGTGAAGTTTCATGTTATGACCCTGTAATTTCTACACATTAACATAAACTGTCTTTAAGTAAATTTTGCTTCAGTAGGTGCATTGACCTCTGTTTCTGTCAATTGGCCCTAGTTCAACTTGCCATTATCAGTAAATTTATATCCTTCAAGAACTTTTTTTCTTTAATATGTTTCAAGAATGCTTATGCAGCTGACATGATTCTCCTGTTTTAATTGTTTAGGGCCTAATTATTTTTTTAGAGTGTCTTCCACTTAAAACACACTCTTCTCCTTCCTTAATATGATTCAAAAGAGCAGGTCTGTAATTGCAATGGATGAAACCATTCTCTTAATGCATAAATGGGCATCCCTTCCAATATACTTGAAAGATGAAGATGATTTTTTTAAAGTATTGAGCAAGGCACTAAGAGACATAAAAGTAATGTGCTAGTTCCTCAGCTGGTGCACCCTGCCAAGCTTCCTTGGAATCAATGGAACATATTGATTTAGGTTAGGAAGTAGCCCAGATTCTTTAATCAAAGTTAGCAGTATTTAAACCTTGATCCATTCTAGAGTACATATGCTTTATTTATATAATAATAACCAGTGAATACCATTATTACATACTAATTACATACTTCTACTATGGCTTGGTAATCAGGTCCAATCTCTACGCAGCAAAATGTAATTTTGAATATAACTTGATTTTTTTTCTATAGCATATAATATCCATATAAATGTTGCCTTCTTCAAGATATTTATATTTATTGTAGATGTTCTTATGTTATGAAAATGACCAAGCATGTGAAGAATTCTTATGCATAAGTTGTGCCAACTGATAGTTTGTAGACAAACAGGACTTATACAGAAGAACTAAGAAGTAAAAGAGATGTAGGGTGTTCATATATGACATTCCTCTGTGGTGCCACTCTTCTGGACTATTAAAGGAGGAATGCAGCAAAAGCTGGTTGTTTTACTGAAAAAAGAGGAAATTCCAGCTGTGAAAATATGATCAGTCTTTCTATGCAACTAAAAGAAGTGTTTAACCAGGCTCATCCTGAACCTGTATTCAATTTCCAAATGTAATTAGATGCTTCACTAAACCCCACCCACATGCCAATGCATTTTCTTTTAAACTCTCAACTTTCTAGTCAAACTGGGGACACTGCAAGCACCCTGTCTTTTTGTAAAGAACCTGAAGCAATATTGGATTACAACTTTGCATTTTCTTAAGAATATTCTCCTCAGACATAAATGGGAACTTTGATTTTATCACCAACATATTGAATCGACTAATGTTATGTTTAATTAAAATGATGAAGTAAAGTTAAAGTTATAAACTATGTTTTGGAATTATTTTTGACAAAACAGAACTTAATTTAAGAAATAATTGATTGAGCCCTTGAAACATGTGAGTCTCTTTTCTTTTCCTCAAACTTTTTACTTGTTTGAAAGTTCTTGACTGTTTTTAAATTTGGAGATAAAGTTAGAAATTCTCTGTGGTTTATACTGTGCAGCCTTTTTGGCTCCCACTGAAGGAAAAGCAGTAGATAATCTGTTTTGTTGTAGTTCAGTGCTGATATTTATCTGAAAATGCAACCCAGCTGAAAAGTCTTGAAAAATACAAAATAGTTAAATGTCTAAGATTTATGTTTGTTTCTGGCCCAAATGTTATACAAGAACAAATTGTTAAATACATAATGTTCTTGTATTTGTAATGTCTTTCAGCCTTCTGAGGCGGTGTGCTAAACAGCTTTCTGCTTTTGCTCCTCGGAACTGGGAACCATTTAAACTGCAGGTGCACCACATTTATCTTAGAAATTCAAAAATATGGCAGGGGAAAAAGAAACTGTTGTTGTTAAAATATGGAATCATTACAGGAAATAATGCCTCTTGTTATCATCATTCATTTATAATCTGATCTTCCTCCATCTGCTGTTGAAGTCATGTCCATGCATTAAAGCTTGTTGGTTTTTGCAAGGCAAAGTTGGCTAAGGGCTCTTGTGAATGGGAAAATAATTATTCTTTCTTTTTATGATATATCATGGGATTTAGATTTGTTCATTATTTCACAATTGAAATATCAGGAAATAGGGGGGGATAAATTCTGACTTATTTAGAGATTTGTCACTTACTCACCTTTGACTTCAGTTGAAATAGGGGACTTATCCAGCAAGATGCTAAGATCCCTTGCCAAGAAAATAAGTATTCTTAAAAATTATTGATGCTCCACTGGATCAGATCCCATATGAGCAGACAACAGATAATTTCATTCGTTTTTCAAAAGTTCAGTGAAAAAATCAGATTAAATGGTCCCTGAAACCCTGAAAGAAACTTTAGAGAAGATTAATCATTTTACTCCAATTACATTGCACTAGTCTGTTAATACAAAGCAGTTTTAAGACAAGGTTAACTGTATGTGCAAGAAAGATTTGTAACTTCCTGCCTGACAGCAATACTAATATTAACCTTGAAAGAGAATGAAATTAAATGCAGATTTACACCTTTCAAAACTAGCCTTTTTGACAAGTGATGTAGATCAATTCAGAATATGCATTAAGCACATTCTTCACTGTCCTGTTACTAAATATAAATAGCTTTTCCTAGTATTTAAAAGAAAGAATGCTATCTTCTTTGACCTGTTGGGTAAGATCTTTCATTGATATAAATTGATGTAAAAGGAAATGGATAAACTGAATGGTGCAAATTTACACCTATTGAGGATTGGCCTTGCTTCAATCATAAGTCCAGTAAAAAGATAGTTTGTAAGCAAATGTAAATGAGAAAAGAATTACCACCTCTGTGTATATCCGATAGCCAAACCTGACTAAGAGGATATAAAGGAGCTCAGTGAAAGTATAGCTGCTTCCATCAAATAAAAATACAATTCCTTGGTACTCCCACTAGTGCTCCTCTTAATTTCTTGAATGCTTCCAAACGCTAACTTGCTAGTAACAGAGAACTGTAAGAGTCATTGAATGCAGTCCCCTACCATGGAATGTCTCACATCAACTCTCCTGTAACTTTGACAAGCTCTACCTTGAAATTTCTTTTGTTTTTTTTTCCTGGTATTTCCCTTTTTAAGGTGGCTGGAGAACCATGGAGTACTAATTATGAACCCTTTTCCTACTGGGCCAAAATTCCTTCCATTCAGTTTGTAGCCATTTATTCATGTGTTCGTGTTGTTCTTTAGTTTAAATACCTCTTCTCTGTCTTATGCCACCTCCATCTCCCATAGTAGATTGGCAGGCAACTCTCATATTCCCTCTTAGCCTATCTGATCTCAGACAAAACAATTCAAGGTTGTCTTGTCTTCCTTACTCGTTATTCTTGGTTTCCCTTTGCCTGTCTATTGCACTTTTCCATATCCTCCTTTTGCAGGAGCAACCATAAATCATAGTTACTACAAGATTGTCTTACTACTTGTGAATATGGACTAGGAATATTCATCAGAGGAAGTAATCGATTTACAAAATACATGGACTAGAATATGTAGACAATTGCAAAATTATGGTGAGGCATTTCCTGATACTGTGTTTATTGTCTAACAAATTACAGTACATATGTATTCTCAACTCACAACGGTGCAGCAGTAATTTTCTTTAGGAGTCTGTTGGAAAATTCTGACACTACTTTTGCTTCCTTGTCAGGTGAAGATGCACACTGTGTCCTACGTTCATTTCTTCTACCTTGGCCTGTGTTTGCTTACCTTAACCAGTTCTGCTGCTGCTGGCCCAGAAACACTCTGTGGTGCTGAGCTGGTTGATGCTCTTCAGTTTGTATGTGGAGACAGAGGCTTTTACTTCAGTAAGTCAACCCTTTCTTTCATTCAACTGCTAAACTTTTCCATGTAATCCATTGGAGTTTGCAACTGCTCTAAGTGTGCCCAGAAATGATCAAACCAGGCTGCCAAGTATGACTAGTATCCTCTATCTTGGAGATGCCCAAGACTCTAGTGACCATGAAGTCTCAGTAAAGAACAAAGCTGTGCCTGTGTTCAGTCTCTCTGAGTTTCTGACAAATTTTCCTTTTCAGACATGTTATTGTTTTTAACCACTTTCCAGCTGCTGCTGTTCCACCTGCTATATTGGTTTCTGCTGACCTGCCACTGAAATTATATGAATGAAAGCACATACTAGACACAAGATATTCATGAGGCAGAACTGCATGTACCTATTATGTCAGATTACTCATAAACAGTTTAAGTACCCATTCTATCATATTAAAAACACAGTAATATTCAACGTCTGGGTTGAAAAAAAGAAAAGCTGGAAGACAGCAAGCAGAAAGTTCCAAGTATCCACATGGTTGGTCAGTTAAATACAGGTGAAAGAAGGTTCATGCATGGTAAGATGATAGAGATTAACACCAGTACAGACAATAGTCAAAATTAAATCTGCAATAGTTTGGCTACACTACAAGAAAGCTGGAGAGGTACTTACAAGGGTATGTAGTGATGGGGTAATGGCTTTAAACTGGAAGAAGGAAGATTTAGATTAGGTATTAGGAAGAAATTCTTCACTGTGAGGGTGGTGAGACACTGGCACAGGTTGCCCAGAGAAGCTGTGGATGCCCCATCCCTGGAAGTGTTCAAGGCCAGGTTGGATGGGGCTTTGGTCAACCTGGTCTGGTGGAAGGCGTCCCTGCCCATGGCAGGGGGGTTCGAATTAGACAGTCTTTAAGGTCCCTTCCAACCAAACCATTCTATGATTTTATGATTAAATGGTATATTAGTATTCAAATAACTGAACAGCACAATATTTTTCCTCTGCTGTGCTCTAGATTGTGAAAAGCTGGAGTAGTTAGATAAGTAACTCTTAGTACCTTCTGACAAATGCCGTCAAGATCAAGAAATACAAAACTTGTATATTTTAAAAATCTATTTCTAATTTTCAGCTATTTACTACTCAAATAAAATAAAGTTAATGAAACTTTTAGCTGGGAATATATTAATTCTGAATTCATTCATAAATATATTTATTCAAAATATGGAATAATTTGTGCTTTTAGAGCCTCTGAAGCTAATGCTTACTTTAATAATAATATGTGCTTGTCTGAAGTTCTTGTCTGAAGTTCTTGTCTGAAGTTACCTCTCCTTCAGGGCTTCACTTCCTTTCCAAACAAGAATATAGCTAAGAAAAACAAATATGGGGTGATTAGTCTAGAAAGACAATAAATTAACTGAAGGGGGTTTTTTCTACTTATTTTTATGTTCTTTGTGAGGTCTCGCTTTTATTTTTTTTTTTTTACTTCTAGAATCCTCATTTTATCCTAATAAATCTTGCCTTCTAAGCTATAAGTTTTGATTTTCTGATCTTACCCACCCCATGTCTATTCATTTCTATTCATGGAGTTACTGCTTTCAATATTTTTCTGCTTACTTGCAATAAAAACAGTTAGGGAAATCTAGATTCATGCACCTTTAATTTACAGAAAATCCTGATTTCCTCAACATGCAAACTGCAGACATTTTCACTATCTTCTTGCCACTTTTTATTAAAGTTTACCTTTGAAACTGGGAGCCTTAGTTTCATACATGTGAACCAATTCACTAAGGAACCCTTCTTTCCTGTATTTAACAGTTCAGTTATCGTTAATGAGCACCTACTCTATGATGCTGTTTAACCTTGTATTCTGATGCTAAACACAATATTAAAAATACAGGAATCTCTCATAAAGGAATTTACATTTTTCTACCAACTCTTTATGTGTTCATTTGAACACCAAAATCTATTAGATTTACCAGCAGCTGAGTTACACTTAGGGGGCTATTTGCATGTCCTACAAATACTTTCTCTTCGTGTCTGGAAGGAACATAAAGGAAGACTTTCATCTCTCACTCCTGTTTCTGCACCAGGAAAAAATGAGACAATATACTACATCCTTAGAAGAGCATAGCAACTTTTTTTTACTGTGCATGTATCTTAGGCATTTTCCCAGTAATTCCTCTCCCAGCAAAATGTTTGGTACTTGTTCAGAGAACTATCACACTTACTTACCACAAGAGTGGTTCTTGCTGCCAAGCAATCAGACTTACTGTTATGTGTACTCTGTGTTCCTCCAGGTAAAAGGACATGTGAAACACTAATCATTAGCAATAACTTTTTGTTTGTAATCTCAGTTATTCTAAGGTTGCAGAATCTGTTTCAAATATCTACATTCCCTAATCTAGATCATCCTTACTTTGAAATACCAGGATGGGTTTCTGAAGTTTTAAAGGAGATCTTTACCCTTGTAATCTTGAGTTTTATCTGCTGTCAGTAAAGACTTTCTCTCTAGTTTTCTCTGTTGTTTTATTACATTCTTAGTTTTCACTTGAAATAATGTAACTGTTGACACCATAAAGGTCTGCCTTGTTTTGTATGGAAGACTGTGGAAGGTTTTACTAACGATGACACTCTGTTTTAGGAAAGTCTTGCACTGTTGTAATCAACAGACTGCAATTGCAATGTTCAACAGGAATTTAATGAAGTTGATATGTGACCCTTGGATGCTAAAGCAATGTGTGTCCTCTACCTGACTACTTCTGATTCATGAGGCAGCAATTCAATCTGTCTTAGCCTTCTCCTTCTGATTTTTTAGTGTTTCATCTAAAATATAGAACTATAGAAAAGTAAATCCAGTAACATTGGTAAAACACCTTGAGAAATGTAATACAGAATGCAGCATATTATTGGAAGTTAAAAATGTTGCTCCATTTCTTGAGACTTTTTAAGAATGCCACATCATCTGCAGAATTAAAAATCCAGTGAACTTTTTTCTTTTATTGTGAAGAGGATGTCAATTTAAATTGCATTTTAACCCTTCTATTCTCATACTCTGGTTTCTTTATATAAAGTACAATAAATGGTAATGTTTACCTTTAACTTGCACAGGAAATAGCTGTGAGGGAAGGTTTTTCTTCCATCATTCTGTATTTCACTAGACTCCCAATGTAAAAAACACCTTTTGGTTGTGGTGGAATTCCTGTTCAGATTCAAGGTCAAAGCTTCTGACTATTTTTTGGGAGTTGTGGGTGGAAATGAGGATAGAAATAATTGAGTTAGTTTCTTTGAAACTCTATATTCCACAACTACAAGGCTATCTCTATGGCTAGGACTGGAAGAAAAAAATTTCCTTTATATAGTCTACTCTGCCCAACTTCCTACCTCTAAAAGGAAATTCTTTACAGCTTCTGAAGAGATGCCCCAGCTGCTTACCACAGGCAAATTAAAGTATTGACTTCAAGAGGAAGTAAAATGTGGCATCTACCACTCCCTTTCTTCATGAGGCAGACAAGCAAGGAGTATTTCTTAAAGTTTTTTGGAGGAGAACACTGCACAAATCCCAAAATAGGGCATCTCCTTTTTCCCTTGGCCACGTTTAACCCCAACCAGCACTGTCTGACTCATCAGCGAAGAGCAGTTTGTTGCCACCTTTTATCTGGCAACACCTCTCTAGCAGAACTTCTGCCATTCAAGTTCCTGTGTGCTAGCTTATGTTAGGAGAAGCCAACCGAGAGCTTGGCCACAGCTACACAAGTAGGTACACTTGTACACAACTCTTCTCAATTAACGTTTCTCTAGTCTCAAAAATTCTGGATTCAACAGTCATGAAGTGAAGTAGGATGGCTGTTATGTTCATTTGAATTTTAATGCCTAAAAAGGTCTACCATGACACTGCTATTGGAAAACAATGCTGAGGGCAGAGAATGTTGGAAAAACTGGAAGGACAAACCACAGGAAACTTAAGAAAGTGATAGCCCAGGAGGGGGGAAATTTTGTTTAAAATATTCTAGTCTTATCACAGGAATTTACTTTGTAGATTAATCAAAAAAGATCTTATTTTTTTTCTTCATACAAGTTGAATTTGATGGACAATCATTCATTCTTGCTTATGTTTCCTGAGGACTGTTACTACCAGAGAAAGGAAAGCAAATGTAGTTTGCTCTAAGGAGCAAATGCTATATTCTTTTTTATCTAGTTTCTTCTCCTTCAAAAATATACCTTTTCCTTTTCTAATAAACTTGCAGTTTTCCTAATTTCTAAAGCCCAATGTAGATGGCAATACTTATTTGAAACCATGGCAATCAATTTCATGAATTAAAACCCCACCTTTTTTCTGTTTAAAAAAACTGCTTTGGGCTTATGGTGAATCTTCTGAAGCATCACTTGCATAGTAAAGAAGGATCTGAATTTAGATACCTGACACAATGGAGTTCCTCTGATAATCTTTAGTGAATGGAGAACGATCTAACACTCCCATATGTAAAAGAGCGCATCCCACAAAAGACAGGCTTTCCTGCTATCCAGCCTAATGCTCCCTGTGTCAGCTGCTTTGTGAAGAGTCATTACGGATATTTACTACATTTTTTTTTCCACTAAGACAATCAGAACTGTGTGTTGTCCTTGGGCTGTGCTTAACATAAGACTATTGGTTTATAATCATCAGAAAATCAGAAGAAGACAGTGAACATTATTTTGGGTAATCAATCAGAGCTGTCGTCAGATCTCATTGCTTTGTAGAACTAGGGTATATATGGAGGAACTGCTGCCTTACAAAGAAGGTTATAGGGTGCATAGCAATAGGCAATTACATTTTGCTTCTTCCATTTCCCTTTAGTTAACAGCTTCTTGTTTACTTCAAAAAGTCTGCTTTTAAGATGTTATTAAAGTTTCTAGGCTTGTCAAACCTATCAACATAATTACAAGAGATGGCATAGCATGCAGTTCTTTAACTACTCCATACCTGTAGGAGATATGAGTCATTAGCTCCTCTCTGTGCTCCTGATTGAAAGCAGTGCTCCTGTTACAAGCCCAGGAAAGGCA